TTAGTGGTTGGTCACTATTTTGGTTATTATCAATCTCCTAATTAACCGTATCAATCTCCTATTTTTCCTATTTTGGTTCTTGTTTCATCCTTTTTCTATGTTTTTTTTATACTGAAGATTGATATCATTTTGTTTTTTCTAAAAAAAAAAAGAAAATTGAAAATCGTTTTTGTTAAAATAATAATAATTATTCTTATTTCTTAAATCTATTTTGTTTTTGGAATATGTAGTTTTTGTAATATATTTTTCTAGACGAATAGTACAATATCTAACAAATAATAAATTAATTAAGAAATAAAACGAAAAATGAATTAAAATAATTTTTAATCAATTAATTAACATTATATTTTCCTTAAATATATCAATCCCATGATTTTCTCTTAATTGGTTGGTCATTATATTGATTGTTATCCGTCTCCTAATTAATAGTATCAATCTCCTATTTTAGTTCTTCCTTCCTCTTTTTATTTACTATTTGTTAAAAGAAATTCATTTTTCGTTTTTATTTCTTCTTAATAACTACGGGAAATTCATAGGTCACATAATTGCAAATAGAGAAAGCTCTAAAGATGGGAAAAAAGGCTAAATTTTTCAAATCAATAATGACCTTCCACTGCTTTTTTAGTGGAACTTCATCAAAAAAGAACAAGGAGATGTTTCTACACCATGAAGGTATATTTTTTTGTTCTTGTTTGACTATCGAAGTAGAATCTTGATGTAATTACTAATAAAGTTGCAATTATGTGACCTATGTAGATTATAAGGTCACAAGTTTGAGTTGTGGAAAAGATTAGTGTTCATAACGAAAGTTTAGTACACACTAGATATGGCTAAAATTCAATTTTTTGAATGCAGGAAAGCAGTCAAAAAATATAATAGAGGAGATAAATCAGATGGATATTGATTGGGTGAGTTTTATCATGCACAATTGTTATTATTTCTTGTTTTAAATTAATTTTCTTTCATTATTTGCTTATTGCAAATAATTTGTGTGGCTCAACATTGCACACGTAGTTAAGTATATTAACACTTGTTTTAATTATTCTATCTAGGCCATTGAAATCTACTTTCCCGAGGAAATAATTGTGGAAATTCTCATCAAATTACCTATTCAGTCTCTTCTTCGATTTAAATGTGCTTCAAAATTTTGGAAGACATTGATCACCTCAGACCACTTTAAGGCAAAGCATTACAATCATGCTAAGAATAATAAAAAAATTCTTATTACTCGATGGCTTCCTGATCATACTACTTCATATTATTGTTCTTCTTTATCATCTCCTCAACCATTACAAAAGCTTGGTTGTTGCCCTTCAAATAATAAACCAAACAGGTATGAAGTATTATGTTCTTGTGATGGTTTGTCTCTTTTGCATTTTTTTTATGACTATTTACTGTGGAACCCGTCCACAAATGAATCAATACAACTTCCTTATATTGATTACCAAGAGTCAATCCGTAGCACTTTCGGATTTGGATATGACTTGATTAGTGATGACTATAAGATTCTTAAAATCGACAACAACGGTGGTGATGATTCCAGACCACCCAGTAAAATTCTTGCACTAAAGAGCGGTTCTTGGAGAAAAATTGATAACCATCCTCGTATCTTTCACAATTCTACATATCGTGATGGCCCTTTGACATTTGTTTGTGGTGCATTTCATTGGTTATCTAAGGATAATGTAAACAACTATTTTATGATTTCGCTTGATATATCAAGTGAGGTGTACAAAGAGATACCGTTGCCAGAGGGAATTTGTAATATTCCCAACATGGCGTTTATCAAACGAGACGTTTCAGTAATAGAAGGAATGCTTTGTGCTTATTGTAGTTGCCTACATGCAAGGGCAGCGGGGGACACTTTTAAGTTATGGGTAATGAAAGATTATGGTATCAAAGAATCTTGGACTATATTATTTAATATACAAGACATATATATCTATCACATTATTGGCATACCGAAATATATATTTGTGAATGATCAAATACTACTCATCTACAATTGTGGTGTTTGTCGTGGGTTTAGGACATCCACAGGACTATTTGAATTGTTTCCTGCACATCATGGAACTCAACGAGGATTAGTTTATACGGAAAGTTTTATTTCTCCCAAATCACTTATTTCATATTAGTTCCCAAAGTTTTCTCTTATATATAAGTTTATTTACTTGTCAGTTGTGGTTTTTGTTTTTTTATATAGAAGTTTATTTACTTGTCAGTTGTGGTTTATCAATGTTATTGGTTTTTGCTTATTTCAAAATGTGTTTGCCAATATTTTACTGAATTTGTAAAATTTTGTACCAACTACTTGTTGTAATTAATGGAGTGAAGATTAATTAATCATGGCTAAGTGATAGAAATAATTTATCTATTTATTATGTATCGTATATTTATTAATTTGACGTAATCACAATAGCTATTATATCTATAAATGCATTCAACATTATTGGATTTGTACGATTCTAGCTAGGGATAAATATAAGAAAATTTAATAAAATTCTCATTAATAAAAATTTTGTATGGAGTTCAATGGATAATTTTGAGTGGAGATTTGGTTATACTGTCAAATTTGGGTTTTATCATGTTCATCCTTTTTGAAATTTGATCATTTGAATATATAATACATATAAAATTATTTTATCACTTAACTATAATTAATTAACATCATAAACCAGTATGTATATATCTCAGTTCTCACTTTTTATTTCTTGCTAGCTCACTATTAGAAACTTAATCTTTTTCCATTATAAATCAGTAGAAAATTTGTATTATAAAATATGATTTTCCCACATATTTCTACCGAATTATCTCATTAGGAAAACACATAATTTTGAAAGTCTTTTGATAATTCAGATATTGAGCCTTTACTTGTTGTCCACAACTAATTTTGGTACATAACTACATGCCAAAGCTGTAAAAGTAAAGATCAACCACATGAATATTGATCAAATCTAGACATGATGAAATTTGTCAGGTTTGGCACATGGGGATGGACCCTATGAATCCTTCACTAAGGAATTTTTAATCTGAATTAATCGAATTTCAAAACGAATAGTAAAAGCTATAAACTAATAAAAAAAAAAGGAACGTAGAAGCATTAATATCAGAAATGGACAGGTTATTTCTTTCAAGTGCACATGTTGTTGTTTTCATATCACTTTGTGGTACCACCACATTAGCCATGATCATTATTGAGATTATGTTTAGAATTATGTTAATCCTAGCAAATGAAGTGACATTATAAGCTTTATCACACTACATGAATAATTATAATTAAATACTAAAATATGAAAAAAAAATTGTTATTAATTTTGAGGTGTGATGTGTAATTATAGAGATCTTTTATAATATGGTGTATTTCTAAATTTTTGCCAATTCAATACAAAAGTTTTGCTAATACAACAAATTTGTGAACAATTTGTTCTAAAGGTATGCTTGCTAAAAATATTTTATACATTAACATCATAACATATGAACGAAGACAAATTTTACTAATTAGGCAGAACTTTACAATTTGTTCTAAAATTATGCCAACATAACAAGGCAAGTTTTACTAATCTTAATATTGGTAGGTGAATTAATAAATACTAGAACTAGCTTTTCGTCTTCATAATAGCTGGAAATTCTCCAAAAATATGAAAAGCTGGAGTATTTTGAACCATGCATTTCGATGTGATTGGCCTCTGTTCAACAACCCAAGTAATTTCATCGTGAAAATAACATATCATCCACCATGTCAAGTTGACAATATAATACTAATATTTAATATGATAATAAATTAATAATAAATAAATATTGAAAACAGCTATAAACTCAGCGCAAATTATTAGTTTCATCTTTAAACTATTTACCGTCTAAAAAATTGAAGTTAAATACAACCCTAATCTTGCAACATAAGTGAAATACACCCTTAATTTTTCGTCAGGTTTAGGAGTGTTTTCAACACTTCTCTCAGCTTTTTATTAAGAGTTTTATGCACCTACAAGAGTTTGAGACCAATTGCTATATCATGTGGCAGATTGGAGTGTATCTAAATTTAGTTAGTCAAATAGAGGAGTATTTCTAAAGCCATCAATAATTTGAAGATGAAACAAATAATTTACGCCAAGTTCAAATAATATATAACTGATAGGCACAACTAATAGGAAGTACTATATATAAACAGGGCCGTCTTAACCCCTACACCACTAAAGTCATCGCTTGGGTCCCCATATATTTTGGGCCCCCCATTTTTAAAAACAATTACTTATATATATTTTTCTTTTATATATATATATATATACTACGATGGTTATGATTTCTACTAAGAAAATTGCATATGAGATGAAAATAAATCTGAATTTCGTAAGAAACAATTTGATAATATGGATAGCGAAATCACAAAGTCCCTTGAAGAATCTTCTAGAGTTGATTGCTTTATATATGTAGAGTAGATCAAATTATTTTTTGCACTTCAAAATAGATTTGAACCAATTGAAGCATATGAGAATTTAAAAAATATTGTCTTAACCTTGAACTTTCTTTAACACGTAATAGTTATTCTAATATTGATGGTTTAGATTTATTTTTTGAATTAAAAGTGTTAAGTGAAATAATACAAGTAGAAGATAATGATCTAAAGAAAATACTCAATCAAATAAAAAGACTTGATTCTTTTCCAAATACACATATTGCTTATAGAATAATGTTAACAGTTCCTGTAACCGTTGCCTCAGCCGAAAGAAGTTTTTTTCAAAATTAAAATTGATTAAATCTTTTTTAAGATCAACAATATCTCAAGAGATATTGAATGAATTAGATATATTATCATTTGAAAAGAAATTATTAAAAACAAATTGATTATAAAACAGTACCTAATGACTTCGCATCTAAAATAGCTAGAAAACTAGATTTTAAATAAAAGTATATATGATGAAAAAAGATATTAGGTCCCTCTCTTAAGTTTTGCTTTAGGCCTCTAATGTTGTTGAGTCGGCCCTGTATATAAATCAGTTTAATGCAAAAGCAAAAAGATTGCACCTTTTATTGAGGCAAAAAATAATGAAAACTTCATGGACCCTTAAGAAGTACTATTTCATTATTTGTATCCTCTTAATATTGCAACATGTTTATTCAAACAAAATCATAAATGGCTGGGAAGAAGAGGTGAAGAAATCAGAGTTTCCAAATGGTTTTCTTTTTGGGACTTCAACTTCTGCCTATCAAGTATGTATATGTCTCACCTTTTATTTTTGGTTAGCTCGCTCTTATCGTGAATCAGTAAAAAAATTATGTTATAAAATATGGTTTTCCCATTTATTTTTGCCGAATTATCTCATCAGGAAAATGCATGATTGGAAAACAAATTCTCACTGAAATACTGGGAAGCTTCCTAATTTTTTCCGTTTGTAAACACCACTATTTTTTTTATTTTCTCACTAATTCAATCAAAATAAACATGAGAATAGCCACTAAATATTTTTCGGTGGAAAATTTCAATAAACATATAGTAGTTTTTTTTTTGTAGTCTCTTTAATTTATCTAATGGTATAATTAATTATAACTAATTACTAATCCTGCAATTTTTTGTGTGTTAGGTTGAAGGAGCATATAGTGAAGATGGCAGAAGTCTTAGCAATTGGGATACTTATTGTCATATCAATGGTAACTATCTCATTTTAATAATTATACTTAAATGAAGGTTAGATTCAGATTTGACCAAACCCAATACCATTAGTCAAAAGTTTATATTTACACTAAAAAGTTCATAAAATATATGTAAAAAATATTAGGAAAAACTATCTAAATACACATCTTATTTTACCATAATCTCGAAAATTCCTTACCATTTAAAAAAGTTCAAAAATTCTCTTTCGAATACATCACTTCCCTCTCGCTAATACATCTCTATCCCTTCTCAAATACATCCCTTCCCTCTCTAATACTCCCGATGTATTCGGATGTCCTATCCCCTTTCCGATATATCCCTCCACTCTCGGATATATCCCTCCCTTCTTGGATACATCCCTCTCCTATGTATCCGGATGTCTGCTGATGTATCCGGAACTCCAAAATTTCATAAATTTTAAAGAATTTTGTAATTTGAAAAAGAGTAGAAAATAATGTAATTAACTCTTAACACTATGAAATTTATGTAAATGATACAAAAAAAATTAATTTCACATGTCGCTATTCTAAAATTTAAAACACGTTACAAAGTTTAAATCTAACTCTACCTCTAACCATGGCATGATTAAAACTTCAACATCTAAGAGTGGCGATAAATAGACTTTATCTGTTATATCTAGTCAAATATTATTATTATCATATAAAATAAACATGAATGATTAATACATTTATCTTATTTTGTACTTAAAATTGTTTACAGGTAGAATACCAAATGGAGGAAGTGGAGACATAGCTGACGATCATTACCATCGTTACTTGGTATGTATATAAAATAAACTCTGCATCCAAAAAAATAGCGGTTGCGTTATTCTTGGATTTCAAAAATAAAATAAAATAATAAATTCAAAATAATTATTTAATTTGATTTTAACATTTGATACATATGTTAATTATGTATTTAATTTGTTTTAATGAATGATGACAGGAAGACATTGACATAATGGCCTCTCTTGGAGTAAATGCATATCGATTCTCCATTTCTTGGAGTAGAATTTTACCCAGTATGTTTTGTTTTATTTTATTTTCTGGCTCCTCTCTTAGGGTGTGTTTGGTACAATGAAAAATATTTTGCAGTAAAAAAAATATTTTTTTAGAGTGCTAAATAGATATTTTTTAGTTTTCATATATAACAAAAAGTATTGTATATATTCATTTTTACTTGTTTACTATTTTAATTTATTTATTTTTTCAATTTTAACATATGAAAAAAAGACAATATTTAATTTCATGTTTTATCCTTAGCATTAATAAATTAGGTATCTCAATTAAGATCTAATATTATTATCAATTTTTTGAACAGGAGGAAAGTTAGGGCTTGTGAATCCAGCTGGAATAAAATTTTACAATAACATTATTGATAGTCTCCTACTCAAAGGTGGGTGATAATTTACACTAATTCTCTAATTAGTCAACTCTTTTTATTTTTACATTTTATGACCAAAAAGATAAATTAATTATGATTGTCATATTAATAAAATGCAGGAATAATACCATTTGTGACTATCCACCATTATGACTATCCTCAGGAATTTGAAGACAGATTTCAGGCCTGGCTCAGTCCTCTTATGCAGTAAGATTTTTTATACCGTCAGATCATCTTTATCTATTATATAGTGTATAACTTATCTTATATTTCAAGATTAATTAATTAAATATATTCCTAACCTAAAATAATAACGTTTACTTTGAGTCATGTCCCACATTTTTTTTTTTAAAAACGATACTCTTAAGAGTATAGTTTCATATTACTGATAGTTTAGATGTATTAGGTGTGAAATTCAACAAAAGTGGATAGTAATACGTGTTTTTGACACTTCACTAGATTATATAATTCAAATTACGACTATGACGTTCTAGAATATATTTTGAATCTCCTTATATAAAAATTCTGATTCCGCCATTATTTAATTACAGGGAGGAGTTTGTTTACTTTGCTGAAATATGTTTTAAGAGTTTTGGGAATAGAGTGAAATATTGGGCAACTTTAAATGAGCCAAATTTATATATGGAAATGGCCTATTTAAAAGGTGTATTTCCACCTTCCCATTGTTCTCCCCCTTTTGGTAAATGTTCTTATGGTAATTCAGATATTGAGCCTTTACTTGTTGTCCACAACTCAATTTTGGCCCATGCCAAAGCTGTCAAAATCTATCGTGACCAATTCCAGGTAATAACAACGTCTTTTGTCTAAATATTTTTCAACTCTTATATGATATAACATGAAAATCGATTTCAAAAACAAGAACTTTACTACATAAAATATTATTATAAAAAATGACTGTACGAACTGTAGGAAAAACAAGGTGGAACGATAGGAATGGTTGCGAGCGCTTACATGTATAAACCAATGACGGATAATGAGGCTGACAACAAAGCAACAAACAGGGCTTTAGCCTTTCATGTTGCCTGGTACGTTATATCAATAGAGTCCGACTTTAAAATGGACATTTTTTGAACGCTATAAACCAAAAGTATCCTTCCTAAATATACAGACCAAAATGGATGTCACTTCACCCATTTATGAGTGAATTGTGATAAACAAAGTTAACTTTCGTTAGTTCACCCCAAAACTAAAAAAAAAAAAAACATTACTTAATTAAGGTGAACTAACAGAAGTTAACTTTGTTTACAACAGTTCGCCCACAAATGAGCGAAGTGTCCATTTTAGTCTGTGTTTTTAGGGAGGGTCTCTTTTGATATGTAGCGTTGTTTTGAAGCCGGACTCTGATCATATATATATATGGACATTAGTTATAAATATCCCTTTTTTTTTTACTTCTTGTTCGTACTGATTCAGTTTATATGATGTACTTTGCCTTTTCTTGTTTATTCTAAATTATTGACCTGGATAAATATTATATGATCATGCAGGCTTCTTGATCCTCTAGTGTACGGAGATTATCCAATAGAAATGCGTCATTATCTTGGGACAAAATTACCAATATTCAGCTCGGAAGAAAAAATACTTATAAAAAACAGCACTGATTTCATAGGACTTAATCATTATACAACATGGTTTGTGAAAGATTGCCTTAATTCAAATTGTACATGCATGGAGAGTGATGTTCTTTGTACACATGGTGAAAATAGAGCCATTCGTGGCTATGTGCTTATTACTGGACAAAAAGATGGTGCATACATAGGAGATCAAGTAAATAATTTCTTCCTGACGATTATCTAAATACGTAACTATTTATTTACAAAAGTCTTTTTTATTATTCAAAATTATGCTTTAATTGATCAAATTAATGATCATCGAGTTGATTTTTCAGATGGGAATGCCCGGAGTATATGTGGTTCCGCAAGGCATGGAAGATATCGTTGATTATGTTAACAAGAGATACAATAACTTGCCTATATTTGTGACTGAAAATGGTAAAGGTTTTAATCTCTTTAATTAATTAAAATGGCAATATAATTAGAAATGTTAAATTTATGTAATTGAAAGTAAATTATGATATATACATACTTCATGCAGGGTATGCATCAAATGAGAATCAAGAAGAATATGATATGGACCAAGATAGGAAACGAATTAAGTATCACAAAGCATACTTAGCATCTTTGGCTCGATCAATTAGGTATTTATCTTTCGTAATAATAACGCGGAGTAATTAATTTTCGATCATATAAAGTTTTTCCAGTGAATTAATTAAATATATATGTGTATAAAAAATGTCTACTTTATTTGAATCAATAAAACACGAATTGTAAAGTCATAGTATTTATGTACATCAGTATAAGTGTATATATACACAACCTTTTTTTTTACATACACAAACTCGTAAGATCTAATATATATATATTAAGAGTACTCAATCACTATATATATATATATATAAACTTGAATTAAGATATATTTTTAATTATTTTTCATTAATAAATTATGTTGGACAGGAATGGTGCTGATGTACGTGGTTATTTCGTATGGAGTTTAATGGATAATTTTGAGTGGAGATTTGGTTACACCGTCAAATTTGGGCTTTATCATGTTGATCGTTTTTCTTTGAATCGAAGCCCAAAATTATCGGCCCATTGGTTTAGAGATTTTCTCACAAACACTAGCCTCAACAATATACAAGCAAAGAGTTCAATATGAAAACAATTTAATAGCGTATTTCTCGAACATAAATGATTTTAGACCTTCTTAACATGTATTTGATCGTCAAGAACGTTAAGCAACATTTCAGTATTTTGAGTTTATCTTTGGAAAGAACTTCGTTGATTTCATTTACTTTGAAAAAGAATAGTATGTGATGTCTTGATCTTTTTGAATATAAACTTAAATAAACTCCCTCAAGATAACTGAAAGGTGTAGCAGTGGTCTTGGGGGTTCATTATGGAGTTCAGGTTGCGTTCATTTTTAGTTAGGGTACATTTGTATGTCCTTATTATTTAAAATGCTATATTTTTATATTTTGCTCAAGTATAAATATTAGAATCTAAAATATTATGTAATTTTTTTCACATAGTTGTAATGAAAAATATTTCAATTCTCTTTCTTTCAAGGTTCTCAATACTATTTTAAAGTCCTAGCTAAATTTCTATAATTTCTAATTGATTTTTATTATCAACACACTTCTCAACTAAGAAAAAATATCACAATATGTGTATCTCTCTTTATATATTTTATGTCACGCTTATTTAAAAAAAATATGTGTGTTTGTCACGCTTGTTTTTTTTTTTTCTTAATTGACTAGTTTTATATATGCAAGATTTTTGTATTTTGCCAACTTTTATCGTTTATGTTATCGACTTATATCGCTTGTTCATTTCAGACTAGTTTTATATATGCAAGATTTTTGTATTTTGTCAATTTCTATTGTTTATATTATCGACTTATATCGCTTGTTCATTTGAGCTATATTTTTTTATCATTCAACCTATAAATATTGGTGTTGGTCAATATTTTTATTTTTTAATTATTATTGAGCACTAAATAAGTATTACAGTACTAATAATTTAATCCTTACAATTTTTTATTTTAAAAAAAAAAAAAACTTGTGCTTTTTTGGGGTATTAATTTGAAAGATTTTTTTTAAAAAAAGTAAAGTAAGACACTACAAAGTGAAAGTTAAAACAACGCTCAATATTTTTTCAAAAAGAGCTCAATGATGAAGAGCTCAATGAGAAAAAAAATATTAAAAAGGCATGATAGGTGGGTTAAAATTTAGTGAAAATGTGATAAATGAAAGAGAAGATAATACTTGATAAGCTGAAGTGGTAGTTCCAAATAAAAACCCATCTGGAAATTCTGATTTCTTCACATTTTTCTGTTCCTCATATGAATTTACAAATACAAATAGTAGTAAACACAGAAAAAAAGAAGTTCGGTTTGTTTAAATAGATTATCGTTCTTCGTCGTTACATAATGTCACATATTCATAATTTGAATAATGACCCTACATGAAATTGTAGGGTATGGGTAGAGCTACTATGAAAACGTTGAGTAAATGATAAAATATAATTATTAAATAATAAGTAAAGACAAAATGAGAAGAAAATACCAAGGTAACGAAAGGATCACACCAATCATTTTGTCATTACCTAACGATGGATTTAAACAATACAATACAACTAAATTTAGATAACAATCAAAACAAATATTATATTTAAACTAACAATTCAATACGACGGTAACAACCCTCCAAAACAATGTGCTATTAAATTATGATCTAAAAAGTTGATAAGTTAACTAAATAAATTAATTTAAAAAGGTCATCAAGGAATAGGTATTAATGAATATAAAATCAGGGGTAGGTGAGTAAGACCTCAATAAAATAATTTCATTTAATAATATGACAAATCACATAAACAGTTGGTCCAATAAATGACATTAAATTACAGTACTTTTAGGTAGAATATTTTTATTTTGATTGTTGAATTGAGTGCCAATGATGGGCCGCTTTAGGTAAAATTGGGCCTGACAAAGTGTGGGCCTTGAGAGATCCCATTAAAGTACCTTAAGTTTGTCTTTTCAAGCAAAAGTAGGCTAGAGTCCAACTCGGAGGCCACGTAGTATGGTAGATATCGTATCATATTGAAATCAAATTCTTTTATACCCTAATTTTGGTACTGATGTATACTCGTATTTATTATGCAATTTTTTGAAAAATGATGATACGATATTTGGTATTCAAATATATCATTGCATATAATTTGTGTATATTATTATAATACCAATAGATTTATAAATTAGTGTTGGTACAAAACTAATTATTTAGTCGTTGGAACTAGCATTATTTATCTTTATTGAAATGTTTTTGTTTGTATAATTAATTAGTGCAATATACGACTTTATTTTTCACATTTGTAAATCCCCGATTTATTATAAATTCATTGAACTAAGTGGATTGTCTATTGAGTTTATACATGAATTACTTGAATTCATGTATGTATATTTCCAAGGTGATATGATCCATTGTGGATAACTATGTACCTATTTGTTTGGGCATTTAACATGATGACCTTTGTTGGGAGTGTCACCCCCAAATGAACCTTGCAGTGAACGGTCCGAATTAAGTCGGGGCTCCAAAGGCCAAATAATATGGCATGTATTCTTTGAAATAAGTAATTTTAAATTGAAGAATTTATAATATATTAGTTCATTTTGCATTATTTATGTAAATTTAATTCTTATCTTATTAGAGACTTGTCTTGAAATTAATTTTAGTGTGATTAAAGCTCTTAACGCCCATGGGGAGATAAAAAAAATCGGGGCCAAAAGTCTCATGGGACTTATGTTAAATTAGGTCTTGGCCTAACTCACACCCCAAAAGCTAGCTCAAAGGGAGGAGGATTGCCCAAGCCTTATAAGGATTCCACCCATCTCATTAACCACCGATGTGAGATTTTTGTTATTCTTTAACAACTTATGCCCCAGTAGATGGGATATATATTCGAAAATTGCATTTTAAAATATTTTTATACTTAGTTTTGGGAAATTAATACATAAATAATTACTTATTCAATATCTCCACTCAGCAAAATAGAGATAAGGTTTGTGTATATCTCACTCTTTTCAAACTTTTACTTATATAATTATATTTGGATATGTTATTGTACTTATTAACAATCTTTTCTAAATTGATGGTCATATTAAACACTAGCGTATAAAGAAGCTATCCTCAAGATATAACCGCTAACTAACAAGGATTGCGTATAGAGTGATAATTGTGATATTAGAGACATATCATATATACATTTGTCTAGCCTAAATTCTCAACTACCCTATGTTACTATAAGGACTTAAGGAGTGTTTGATACTACAATTTTTCACAAATTCTCAGTTTTCTATATAGTTTAAATTTAAATTACACCAATAATGTTATTGTTAACTTAAATCTTTAAAGAACTAAAAGTGGAAAATCTTTAGTGACTCGAAACGCAGCAGCCACCTATTATACTTTTTTTTCAGGAAAAATAAATAAATAAAATATATAGATATCTTTTTCAGTTTAAGATGTATCAAAAGAACCATTTCAATCATTTCCTAGCTCAATAATTATTTTTATTGGTTTCCATTCAATATTTGTATTTTTGTTGGGATCTGATTAAATTTGAATTTGTACATTACATATTCAAATTTTGTGGGATAGGATGTTTTTCCATTAACAAAGACTCAATTCCAAAACCTTTGTTAGAATTATCCGGGTCTAATTATTTAATTGGAAATAAAATTAAATAATTTTTTGATAGGTTGTTAAGATCGTGACACGTGTCCCTCCATTAGTACAAAGGGTATACACGCTCCAAAAATTAGAAGATAGGGACATCAACGCTCTTAAAGTATAACGAGGGATATTTAGATACCATTTACGAAAGTTCGAGAGTATATTTGTCTTTTTTCCTTTTTTTTAATTAGTTAGTACTAGCTAGCTTAGCATAACAGGAACATAAACAAATTAAAAACATTACCGCCTCTTCATCAAATGGTTCGATCAGATCAGCAGCAGGAAAATCCAAAACAGTTGGTAATAGTATTGAGACATTGATAGATACCCTCACATATTTTCATACCAAGGCCCATGTCCTCAGCCTGGGCGGCCGCAGCAACGAGGAATAACCGGGGATGATAGTTGAGCTTTGTCAGATCTCATCCATACCTCAAGTCGAGAAGATTTCGAAAATCTATTGTATAGTAAACATTGTCATCGGTTCCTCCTTTCCGGATAAATCGACAGTCGATGCCCCCCTGGCAATCAATGTTCCCTGAGTACACCAACTTGCAAACAGAGCAAGTGGTATTGTTGGGAGGAGAGTTCAGGTTGATGACAGACGGAGGAGGGGGAGGGTCCGTAGCAGAAAGGAGGATGACGAAGAAAGGGTCACTCGTGAGCGGAGGGTTGACGTTGACAATGGAATCTATAGCAGGGTTCGCAGAAGAAATAATCGAGACGGAGGAAGGGTCACTCGTGACCGTAGCAAAAACGACTGAGGAAGCGTTGACGTTGACGACGGAGTCTGTAGCAGGGTTCGTAGAAGAAACAATCGAGACGGAGGAAGGGTCACTTGTGACCGTAGCAGAAATGATTGAGGAAGGGTTACTCGGGACCGGAGTGGGAGTAGACATATTTCATTTTCAGGGAAAGAAAAGGAAAGGAGAGGGTCTCCGTTAAGAATTGGGAATGGGTATTTTAATAGGGTAGTGGTACATTTTTATTTTGTATTTATTGAAAAGACGGGATAAAAAAAGCAAACTCCTTCTTTATATTCTTGCATATAATCTACCTTTTAATTAAAAACCTTCAAGCCATTTTTATTTATTTAATTAAAATTAATACTCTAGCTTGTCTGCATGCATTGAAGAATATATTTAATGACCCAAAATCTTTCTATATTATACTCGGAAACAAGATAGTTAATAATACCGCGAATCACATCTACTGCTAAATTAGGGAACACGTACAAAATGTAATAGGATTTTTATTTGTGGATGAATTAATTGATTAGTGAAATTCACTAAGTACTAAGGGAGGAACCATAGCTTATATATCAATGATTTGGCTCAAATGATATATTTTGTTTTGGCCAAACACATAAACAAAATTCTAAACTTGTTGGGTTTTTCCCCTTAGGTACCTCAACTATGCTATTTTCCTATTGAATCATTGAACCACCCATAATTTGTTCCTTTTTAAACACCGTTGGCTGATGTGGAACCAAACTTCAACAAATATTTTTTGGCTGATGTGCACGTGAGATCAACCTTCCCCACGTGGAAATTCCAACAAATCATACTTCAACCCAATTACACGTCAGCGCCACATATTCAATCCTCAAACCTAAAAACTAAACCCCTTCATTTTCCCCCCCAAAAACAATTTCTAACCCCGAT